AAAAAAAATATTTTCTTCGTGAATTAATCGTTTTATTAAAAAAAGAAAACCAATTAATATTTTCCATATTCAAGTGTATTATTCTGATGCTCTTTGCAATTAATAATTTTTTCCCTTTTCTTTTTTCTGTTTTGTCAATATCCTTTCTTATAACACCCGAAAAGTTAACTGGTAAAGAAGAGAACTATCAGACTTACAAAATCCCACAAACATTTTATAACAGGTTTTTTTCCTTGCGTGACCTTGGATACAGCGTCAGAAATTTCTTGATAAGTGTAATTTTTTTTTGGAGTAATATTACTTTGCCGCAGAATATCATTCATATTATACTTATCGTACAATCTAGCTGCTTCAGATAAATACTTAGAACGATCGCTCAGTTGTTCAATTTCAGTCATGCAACTTCTAAATTCATTCCATCTATTTTCTAATCTTTTTGAAGGATCTGGATAAAACCTTCCTGAAGATCCAAAAAAAAATGATTGATCTGTCGCCTCTAATTTTCCGGTAGGTGAACACAATGTTTCAGTCGCGTTATTCAGCTGCGGTAGGAAATCAGAAGCGACCCATCGTTTAGCCGAATAATTACATTCGGTCCCGAAAAAGCCGATTCTGGTGCAATTTTTTGAAGAATAATATTCTTGGCTTAGTTCAAAGTGAAAGTCGACTTAAAAGATTAAAATAAAGTAAACTTCTTACGGTCAAAAAGTTATCTATTATTTGAGCTGAAAGATATAAATTCAAATGAAACGACATTTCTTTGAATAATCTTTGTAGTACTAAGTAAAAATAAATATTTTTTATTTGATAAACAATAAGTCTGCTGTATGTACATTTAAGAAAACTCTTTTAAGTAAATTTTACGAAAAATTCCTCGGACATAATAACTTATTCCTTAACGTCCATTAGAGAATTATATGACCGGAAGTACAAGGTCCTTTATTATCGAATTAAGGCTGGCGATACATGTAAAAAAAAATCGATTTTTTTTTTATATATATCGTTAGAATATCATTTCAAAAATATGCCTGTAAATTTTCAAAATAAAATTATCATTATTTATATATTAAAAACTCATTTAAGTGCTTCGCCTTAACTCGGCGATTGAGCGCTATTGAAGTCTGTAATTGAGCGCTCGATTCTCGGTACCTGGATTTCGAATTTACACTCTTGGGGTCTATTGTATGGTTGAACCGGGTCAGCAGATGTTCCGAAAATCTTTTGTCTTCCAATTCTAGGTATACAACCACTATATAGTTAACATAAAATACTTAAAACCAGTGTTGCCGTTATTTTAGTTCAGTTCAGTATACTTCTGGCATTCGTTCTGTGTGGAGTAAATTAATAAGTGAAATAAAAATGCAGTCTTATCCTAAAAGTAAAAGAAATATATCAACCCGTAGTGCAAAACCACGAAAAAGAAAGTTCCATGGAAATCAACACTGTAATAACGATGAAGAAAATACAGAGCCGCAGAGTACAAGTGCGAAAAAACTCTCTACCGCTGACGAAGATGATGTCCATTACAGTGCGCTTCGAGGCTATCGGTTAATCGAGTTTTTTACCGTGTTTACAGCATTGTCAGATATTTTGATATGTCGCGATTGTAAATTACCTGTGAAATTTGAAGAAAGTGGTACAGAGGTTTAGGTTTTAAAATCGTCGTGATATGCAAGTGTGGTCTCAGAAACATATTTTCTGGACCATTAATCAATAATGGATATGAAGTAAATCGCAGAATTGTGTTTGTGATGCGTCTTTTAGGTGTTGCTAGGGAGGGAATCAACTTATTTTGTAATATGATGGACATTTGTAATGGTTTATCTGAAAGTACATACAATGCTATCGTCTTGCTGTTACACACCACTACACAGTCATTATTTAAAGCTTCTTGTGTAAAAGCTGTCGACGAAGAAAAAAGTGAGAATGAAAAGCATGAGCGGCCAATCTTAAATTTAAAAGTTTCTGGGGACGGTACATGGAAAAAGCGGGGTTTTAAATCGATGTATGGGGTCACAACCCTTATTGGATATTACAGTGGTAAAGTAATTGATTTAGTCGTTAAAAGTAGTTTTTGTGCAGCTTGTGCTCGTTGGAAAAATAAAACTGACACTGAAGAGTATCGTCAATGGTTCGAAGAACATGAACCAAACTGCCAAGAAAACATAAAGGATCTTCTGGTGCTATGGAAGTCGAAGCTGTAAAGGAAATGTTTTCACGATCTGAAGAATTATTTGGTGTCAAATACGGAGGATGTTTAGGTGGTCACACTCAGAATGCAAATGAATGTTATAATTCTACTGTCTGGCGACTCTGTCCAAAACATCTGAACTCTGGACTGAAGATCGTAGAAATTAGTGCTTTTATAGCTGCAGGGTTGTTCAATGATGGATTTAACTTTATCTTACGAGTTATGAACTCAATGCAAATAGTTATTGGCCGCCAACTCATGTCGTACAGAGAAAAAATCGATGATCAAAGGGTGAGTCGAGAAAATCGCCGCAGCTCTTTGACGACCAAACAAGCTCGTCAAGCATGTCTACAGGAACTTACAAAGAAAAACGAGTTTTATGAACGTACCGAAGGACTTCTATATGGCCCTGGAATCGCTGATTAATCGGTAAGCCACTGTAATCATACTGTTTCTGTGTGTCAAAACTTTAAACGCGTTTTTCTCGAAACGACTTTTTTGAAATTTGCGGGCGGGATAACTCAAAAAGTTCTCAACCGATTCTAATGAAATTTTTTACATGTGTACTTTATAGTAATAGCTTCTAATTAAACCTCAAAAATTCCAAAAAAAATTTCCAAAAATTAACCCTTTTACCAAAAAAACCATTGAAAAAGGGTTAAAAATCGAACTTTTTTTTTCTGAGGTGTGCTAATTTACGATTTTTTGACTTTTTTTGATTTTTTGTGGTTTAACTAGAAGATATATGTTTTATGAACACCTACAAACTAATTTTTTTAATTTCAGATCACCGTACGAGAAGTAAGAACGCCCGCAAACTGATGTCTTTTTCTGAGAGGGTCTCGGCAGATTCATTTTTACAGCGGCCATTTTGAAAAAAAAAATAAAAAAAAAATTTTTTTCTGTACTTGAATATGTAATAAATAACCCCACAAAATTTTAAAATGATTCAGTTATTCCTTCCCAGTTTATAAAGTCCTCAAAAAACGGTAAAAATTAAGGCGTTTACATGTATCGCCGGCCTTAATTATTCCGGCTTGAAGCTCGAATTCACAAGAAACTGTTTACAATTATTAATGTCTTTGTTCCAGAATTCTAAAATCTAATTAAGATTATTTTGATAAGATATTGAATTCTCGTTAATTATAAATATTTATCCACTCTTACCAATAAAATATATCAAATAAATGTTTGAATAAACAAAATCATAAAAATAAAGATAATTATTCCGGAAAAAGTCAGTATTTTAGCCTGGAGCAACATAGTTTCTAGTTTTAACACAAAAATAAGATAAAAAAAATAACAAAAACATCATTGATATTCGATGGTCATACCACTAGTTTTTCCAGCTACTACGCGATCACAGAGCATCGAATTCCGTATAAATACAATCTCTGACACTCCAAATCTTGTTATTGGCTGCTTGGCATCAGGAATAGTCGAATAATCTTTTTTATCATGGGCTTTATGAAAAGTTCAGTTTTATTCTTAAAATAATTTAAAATAATTACTTCTGTAACTAATCTATGAAAATTACAGTGGAGCCGGCCATCGCGTGCGACTCAGCAGCCCTTTTGATAAATATCCGACAATTCGATAAGTACAGAGTAATTTTTCCTTTAATAAAAAAATTTTTGACCTTAAACAAATTGGAACATCTAAAAGTTCACGCCCCATAATCTCATTTACCACTATAAAATTCATTAAAATAAAATACAAAAAACAAAATAATAAAAAACAGAAAACTCTGCTGTGGTTTAGTGGCGCCATAACTCTAAGGTGAGGAAAAAAAATACTATAATAAAATGTATTTATAGATCTACAAATATTAATTGAGAAAGTCCTTAGCGTGTCACTTTAGATGATAAAAAAAAATAATTACGGTACGATAATTTTTTCGAGCAATTTCCCTTCCACATACACGGATCCATGAACACAGACACTCGGACGTCCAGGAAAGATTATTTTAAATGTTGTTATTTTTAATGTTAAACAAAATAATTGTTATTGAAATATATTTTACCTGCACTGATAAAAAAAAATCTTCATTCAAGGAAAATATTCTTGCTCCAAGAAAATTATTTTGAAGAGAACTAGTTGTCTTATTTCAAGAAATTCTTGTCTTGATTTCATGTTTCTTGGAGTGAGAGATCTATTCAATCCGATCGATAACATTTTCACTTTGTTCAAGACTATATTATCTTCGATCGATACAAGTGAATTCTTTATTCAAAAACGATTCTCTTCAATAAAGAATAATTTTATTTCTTTTCAAGAATTATTGATTGTTGATTCAAGAACAAATTTTTTTATTTATAATGTTATAAGTTTAAGTCAAAAAAAAACTTTGAAGTTAAAAAATTTTTAATTCTCTATGTGCCGAAAAATATTTATTAATAAAGAGAATAGCAAAAATACAAACATTTCTATGTTTATAACAAGTAAAATAATATCTTAATTCAAGAGTCGCGCCATATTTGGAACAAGTCGGTAATATCTTAAACCAATGTTACCGTCTATCTTAATCCAAGAGAAAGATATTCTTGTGCGAAGTTGTATATATCTTATTTCGAAACAACCAAGTTTCTTGATTCAAGAATCAATTTCTTAAGTTATGAGAATTGAACTACTTATAACAAGAATGACATTTTGAAGATAAAATTTTTCTTGAATCAAGTCACTTTCTTTTATCAGTTTGCCTGACAGATTATTTGACTTGATGTAAGTGCACTCATATTATTCTGTAAGTGCGATATAAATAAAAAAAAATCAATTTCAGTTTCGAGAAAACTGCTTTTTTTTTGTCGATAGTAAGCACTACCTCAACGCTTCGTTTATAAGGCGTGCAATTAACGATCAAAACTATCACTATTGATGCATTCACTTGCATTTCAGGGAAGATGATAATGGCTATTACTATCTATCTCAAGAAGTCAACCCAGCTGAGTGTCCTATAGGCGATTTAGACAGATGTCATGTTCCTAAGTATCCGTGGGTCGTTAGTATTCTTAACTTCATTTTTAAAAGTAACATCGACTTTGATTGTGAGGCGCATGGAAATGATGAAACACATTTCGATTTCTCCTCTCTGTCGTCTATCAAGAATGAAATAGTAGACAAGTGGGGGATCGGTCGAGTTTCCTAGTATTCCAGTGAAGAAGAAGTACTTGATCGATACTGGAAGCAATTCGGAAGATGTTCAATTTTTTTCAAAGGAATCGACAACGGGTTCAAGTTTTACAATAAATCACTCGAGTTGTTTGATAAATACAACATGGATGCAATTTTACGGCAATCTCATATCACTCCTGGGAAAAATTACACTTATCAAAAAATATCCAAGGCCGTTTCGAAGAGCATAAGTGGCAAGTATGTGAAAATTATATGCGTTCCATCGAAAAATGTAAGTTAATTATTGTTATGGATAGGATTGATAGTAAATATTTAAGAACTAATAAAATAAAATATACTATTTTTATAAAAGAAATATTTCTAAGAACAAAATATCTAAACTTTGAAACTGGGATTCATTTTTGCTTAGATAATTCATCAATTATATTCCTGTTACTGTTAGTAGTGAATTATATACTTATAATTATTGAAAATTATTTTTTTTTTTAGATGACGGAACCAGGCAAACAAATTTTGCGTAGCATCGGATTCTATATGGATAAAAATTTCAAGCCGACTGATCCAACTGATATTGATAGTCCTTTTGACGGATATTTCACCTGTGATCGTGAACGAGTTATTTTTTATCAGGGCTTAATGGATTTTGTTGCTGACGAACGGAAATTTCAGCAATCAATTAGATCAATATATTAAAAAACGGATCGTCCATCAACGAAAGGGACAAGGGAATTGGCTGATAGCATTCGTACAGCCGATTTCACATTTATATTTTAATTTTACATGTAAATTTTATTTCGTCCGTTGTTAAAAATAAAAAAAAAACTAACAACGAATTTTGATATTAAATATTATTCAATAATATCCTAACCCATTACCTGTACATAAATCTACTATAGATTTATCAATGTATCTTTTACACATGTTTATATCTTCTAGTTTTGCTTAGAATTATATTTAACTACTTAATTTTGATTGTGATCATTTAACTTAACTCATCAAATGTTTGTGGGTTCCTTGGTGGTCGAAAAATAGTAGGGCAAAACAACTAACTTTTTAATGTCCATCCTGATGTAACATTAGTAAATTATATCATTGGAAGTACGAGGTCTGTTATTATCAAACTAAAGTCAAATTAATTATTTTAGCCAAAGGCTCTAATTTACTTGTGAAATTGTTTAATATTTTCTTTCAAATTCTAAAGTTTAAATATCGTTATTTTTATAAAGCGCCTGTCTAACATAAAAACAAGATTAAAAAATCATCCATCATTGATATTGCCCATGACACTGGTTTTCCCAACTACTACGCAATCACAGATTGTCGAACTCCGTATAAATACAATCTCGACACTCCAAATCTTCAGTTAGCGGCTATTTGGCATCAGGAATAGTCGAAAAGTTTTTTCATCACGATGGGCTTTATTAAAAGTTCAGTTTTATTCTTAACATTTTTATTTTTGGCGACACAAATCGAATGGTATTTTTTAAATTTAATAAAAAAATAGTAACTTCTGTACTAATCTATAAAAATTACAGTGGAGTCAACCTTTCTGTGCGACCCAGCAGCCCTTTTGATGAATATCCGACGATTCGGTAAGTACAGAGTAATTTTTACAAAAAATTTTCCTGAAAATTGGAAAAAACCTGAAGTGCACGTCTCATAATCCCATATTCCACTATAAAATTAATTAAAATAAAATACAGTAAACAAAATAATAAAAAATAGAAAACTCTGCTATGGTTTAGTGGCGCTATAATTCTAAAAGGAAGAAAAAAAATACTATAATGAAATGTATATATAGATTTACAAATACACAGTCGTATCTTAGTTTTTTATAAATAATAATTAAACGACAGTGAATTGAACGGTGATATTAATTGAGAAAGTCCTTAGTGTGTTACTTTAGATGATAGAAAAAAAAAAATAATTCTGATACGATTAATTTTTCGAGCAATTTCCCTACCACATACACGCACCCATAAACACATAGAAAAGATTATTTTTAATGTTACTATTTTTAATGTTAAACAAAATAATTGTTATTGAAATATATTTTACGTGCCTGACAGATTATTTGACTTGATATAAGTGCACCCATATTATCCTGCATTCGTTTGCATTTCAGGGAAGATGATAACGGCTATTACTATCTATCTCAAGGATCCAACCCAGCTGAGTGTCCTTAAGACGATTTAGACAGATGCCATGATCCCAAGTATCCGTGGATCGTTAATTCACTTACCTTCATTTTTAAAAGTAACATCGACTTAAAATGCGAGAAGGATGGAAATGAAGCTCATTTCGATTTCAGCTCTCTCTCGTCTATCAAGAATGAAATAGTAGACAAGTGGGGGATCGATCGAGAATCGAAGTATTCCAGTGAAGAAGAAGTACTTGGTCGATATTGGAAGCAATTCGGAAGATGTTCAATTTTCTTCAAAGGAATCGACAACGCGTTCAAGTTTTACAGTAAATCACTCGAGTTGTTTGATAAATACAGCATGGATAAAATTTTACAGCAATCAAATATCACTCCTGGGGAATATTACACTTATCGAGAAATATCCGAGGTCGTTTCGAAGAGTATCGGTGGAAAGCATGTAAAAATGGTATGCTTTCCGTCGAAAAGTATAAGTTAATTATTGTTATGGATAGGATTGATAGTAAATATATAATTATAATTATTGTAAATTATTTTTTTTTTTTTAGAAGGAACCGGGCAAACAACTTTTGCGTAGCATCGGATTTTACATGGATAAAAATTTCAAGCCGATTGATCCAACTGATATTGAAAGTCCGTTTGACGGAAATTTTTACTGTGATCGTGAAAGAGATATTTTTTATCTGAGATTAATGGATTTAGTCGATGAAATACGGCAATTTCAAGAATCGATTTGACCAATATATTAGTGGCGGCGTTGGTAAAAAAAAAAAAACCAACAACGAATTTTGATATTAAAATATTATTCAATAATATCTTAACCTATTAACTATACATAAATCTATTCACTCATATTTATATCTTCTAGTTTTACTTTGAATTATATTTAACTATTTTAACTTAATTTTGATTGTGATTATTTCACTTAACTCCTCAAATACTTGTGGGTTCCCTAGTGGTCGAAAAATAGTAGGGCAAAACAACTAACTCTTTAATGTCCATCCGGACGTTACATTAGTAAATTATATCGTCGGAAGTACGAGGTCTTTTATTATGAAGCTAAAATCGAATCAATTATTTCGGCTAAAAGCTCTATTTCTTCTAGCTTGGAAGTTTTTAAAAATAATATACATAATTTTTTTAATCACGTCCAAGGGAATTTATAATTATAATAATCAGGTTGATCAGACCACAAACGCAATGTTGAGAATTATTTCACACATTATTGCTACGTTTAATTGGACATCCCGACTTTTTCAGGCAATCTAAAAATACATACATCAAATATATAAATAAATTGAAATAAATAAATCAATCCTTACAATAAAAATACATGAGAGTGTGAGGTTAGTCAATAGTTGAAATCTGAAATGAATGTTTCGATACACAAAATTATAAAAATAAAGATAAATGCCAATAATTTTTACATAATAACAAGATTAAAAAAACATCCATCATTGATATTGCCCATGACACTGGTTTTCCCAGCTATTACCCAATTACAGATCATCAAACTCCTCATAAATACAATCTCCGACCCTCCAATATTTCAGTTAGCGGCTGCCTGGCATCCGAAAACAGTTGAACAGTTTTATCATTACGATGGACTTCAAAAGTTTAGTTTTTTTCTTAATATTTGCATTTATGGTGACACAAATCGAATGGTAATTATAAAATTTAATTAAAAACAATTAATTGTATAACTAATAAATAAAAATTACAGTGGAGTCGACTATCACGTGGAACTCAGCTTGCGATACAATTCTACGCACAACAATTGGATGGTTTACGATATCATACCGCAGCTAGACAACGGAGCTGAAATATCATGTTGGGAATCAAACGGAGAATTAGTGTTAGAAAATAACTCACCTTCAGATGGATTGTCAAAGAAAGAGTCATTTAAGAAAGTAGATTTGACACCACCAGAAAAATTGCATTCCATGGAAGGCCTATGGTATAAATTTGGACTTTGCATTCCCGAAATTAACCAACTAAGCTATCGTTCAAAATACTTAGAGGAGGCAATTAGGTTGTTCCAAAAGTATAACGTGGAAGATATTCTCCGACAAAGCAACATTACTCCAGGAAAAAATTATACTTATCGAGAAATTTCTGACGTTGTCTCCAAGGGCATAGACGGAAAAAAACCTATCGTCAAATGCTTGTTAGATGTAAGTCTATTTATGGTAATTAACAATTTTAATACCGTTAATTTATATATGTCTATATGTTTTTTTTACATGAAGAAAAATAACCATCTGTTATTAGACAGAATAACAATATTTTTTGACAAATCATTGAATTTAATTAATCCAATGAGGCGTCATTATCGTGGAAAGTGTCCAAGTTACCTACCAATTGTCTATCAAAATTCAACAAGCGACCCTAATTTCTACGGCAATCTGAAATTTTACGATGATCCTCTAAATAAATATCCGACACTTAGGTAAGTACAAAGTAATTGATAATTATTTACAAGTGGGGTCCACCCTATTTTTGGCCATATCTAGGTGAAAAATTAACATTTTTTAATTTTTCTTTTATTCTGCTTGTTTTTCGGTGCATTTATGATATAAAAATGTCGTGAAAGGAAAAAAAAAGATTTTGATAGCTTTTTTACCTTTAAAAGTTGAAAAGAAATATTGATTTTCATGTTTTTGGATAAAATTTCCCAGCGAATATATCTCAAACAAAAATGTCCCTCATAAAAATATTTTAACCAAAATAAAGTAACCGTATGTATAGCATGTACTTAGTTGGTCTAATATCGAATAAACACACACAAAAACCATGATAAACGACACAATGGTGGGATATTTTATCAAGGGAAATTTATGTGAAGGAGATATATTTATCTTAAGACAATTGAAATCATTTTGGTTGAGATATTTTTGTGAGGAATATTTTTGCTTGGGATATATTCGCTGATAAATTTGGTTACGTAACACTTCATCCGAAGACAATTCATCCGCGGACGATTGATCCGCACAACAATTAATCCGCACGATAAATGATCCGTGATTAATTTTCGGAAAAGATATGGATTACAAATTCATTAAGAAACAGCATGTACTTATATCATGATTTTTGTGTGTGTTTGTCCGATATTATATCAACTCATAAGCTTGTTACCGTGTTGTGCGCTTTTATCATGGTTGTTGTGTGTGTTTATTCGATATTATACCAACACATAAGCTTATTACCGTGTTGTGCCCTCTTATCATGGTTGTTGTGTGTATTCATTGGACATTTTACCAACACTTAAGCTTGTTAAACGTAATTAAAATGATTAACGATAATGATGAAAATAATAAAACTCATTAAAGTGGGGGGCTCCGCCCCCTCAAACCCCGCCGGGGCTGCGCCCCTGGACCCCAACAAAAGTCGGACCCCTCAAGTGGAGATCAATTGTCGTGCGGATCGTTGAGCGTGCGCATTTATCGTCTGCGAATCTATCGTCGCGGATGAACGGTCGCGTCACCATACATACACTGTTCATTTTAGATATATTTGTCAAGGGATAATTCTGTCAAAAGAGATTTTTGTTTTGAGATATTTTGCCGGGGGATAATATCTTTTCGATGTGATATATTTACTGGGATATGATTTACTGGGATTTTATGACCGGACACCCCTTTAGCGGAAGCGGTTATTTTGAATATAATTTTTGTCACTTGGGCCTTATTATCCTTAATTAATGCAAGTTGTTTGCATTTCAGAGAAGATGATAATGGCTATTACTATCTAACTCAACAAGTCAACCCAGCTGAGTGTTATCCTCCACTCGCTCTAGAAACATGTCATGATCCTAAGTATTCGTGGGTCATTGATTCATTTATCTTCGCTTTCAAAAGTAACATAAACTTTACATGTGAGCTGGGTGGAATTGACCCTTGTGATCATGAAGGACAATTCAACTTCACATCTTTGTCGTCTATAAGATATGAAATATTCGGAAAGTGGGGAATCGGTAAAATTCCACAGAATTTCAGTGAAGAAGAAGTGCTTTGTCGAAGCTGGAGGCAACAAGATGTATGTACTCTTTACTTAAAAGGAATCGACAGCGAGTTAAAGGTTTACAAAAAATCGATCGAGTTGTTTGATAAATACAACATGGATAAAATTTTACGGCGCTCTAATATTCTTCCTGGGAAGAATTATACTTATCAAGAATTATCTGATGCCGGTTCGAAGGGTATTAATGGCAAGCCACTGATATTTTCATGCCGTCCATCATTAACTGTGAGTGACTTAATCGTGCTAGTTAATCATAAAACAATATGTTAATTATTTATTTTTCAGAACGAACCAGCCAAACAAATTTTGTTTGGAATCGGATTTTTTATGGATAAAAATTTCAAGCCTACTGATCCAACTGATTTAGAAATTCTTTCTGAAGGATATTCTATCTGTAGACGTGATGGACAGATTTTTTATCAGGGCTTTAAGGATTATGTGGAGGAATTACGGCAATATAAATCGATGATTGGAGAAATTTAGTGATAAATAAACTAAGTGGGAATGTTTAATTTTGTCATTTTATCTCTGATTTAGTCAAGTAAGGCTCAAAATTAGCATTGTTTCAAAAGTTTATATATACTATTTATATTAAATTCATCCCAAAAACATTATTTACTCGAAATTTGATGAATCACTGAGTCTAATTTAGAAAAAATGCAATAATTTTTTGTTCCACTGTCCTCAAACATGCTTAGGACTACCAAAAAAACTGAAAATAAAGTTTAAAACATTTCTCCGTTTATAGAAACTCAAGTTTGCACGAATTTCCTCAAAACTCATAAATTAAATTGAAATTGTTCGCATTATTAATCGAAAACTGTTAAAATTAGTGTGGATTAAAGTTTGACGATGAATATCTTTAAAACAGTTAATTTAAGGATGTCCTTTCGCCGCCAATGTAAAATAAAAAATATTAGATTATGAGTAAATTCAATTTTTTTCTAATAGTTAAGGTCTTTATTTATCTAATAGTGAGGTTTAAATTATACTTTACTGGACAAATTTTTGAAAAAATAAAATTTTTAAATGTTAGTATTTGTTCAGAGTCTTACGAGAAAGTCAGACATTTGCAGTATTTCTCGAATTATACTATCAGTCATGGATTAGATGAAGTAAAAAAAAACTAAAAATTAGATTTTCGAAATATTCAGGTTTCTTTTTTTGCAATAAAATATATCAGTTACCGAGATATTTATTGAGAAATTAATATTTAAAAATCACAAAAAATTCTCAAGTAACCTACGTTAAAATGGAGTCAAAACATTTGGCAACGTTGCGTAGCGCGCGAGCTTCAGACCATTCAATAAATTCAAACTAATTTATTTATTTACGCTGACTGCAAAAACTTAAACAAGGTTAAGGTTATATTATGCAAATGAAAATGTAAACAACCGAAGTACAGCGTTGCCAAATCACGGACAGGTTACTAGCAGTTGATTTGAAAGAGTCAAATTAATTTTTGTATTTAAGTATTTTTTTTTTTTTATTTTCAAAATTTCAACGATTAATGCCTCATATACTATTTATTATTTAATTTTAGGAATTTTTATGGGTTTCTTTTTTTAATTTATCGTATATTGACTACTACAATTATTTTGACTCAACTGGAGCGAAAGGATTTCCTTAAAGAACTAATCATAAGAGACCATTTTTGTAGAGCAGTAAATTTCCTATAAATTGGTGAGGTGCGCATATCATAATAATTTTTCTTTTTGAACGAGTTACAAAATTCATAAGAAAAAAGAGATTTGTCTGAAAATAATCAAACTTCAACCTTCAATAACTTTTGAACGGTGAGGTTAACAAAAAAATTGCAAGAGACCTTTTTTGTAGGAAATTTAATTTCCTATGAATATATGAGACGAAATTTTTTTTTTCAAATAGTAGTTATCGAGATATAAATTTTTTCCCTAATAATAAGAAAAAAATAAATAACTGAGGGACGGAAGACTTTCCTATTAATATTAAGAGCTTATACTTGGAAAGAATTTTTTTGAGGTGTCTATCAACCTATTTTTTAGAGTATAAAGTTAAAAAAAAATAGTCGATTTTTTTGGCCTACCCTAATGTAGATCTTGTTATATATGATGAAATTTAACCATTTTTCTCGGATTGTGTCCTTTATTCTTGTAATTTTTATTATTTTGTCATAGAAATATTCATGTCCCGAAATATTGAAACTAAAATTACAACAATAGTTACATTTTTTAATTTTAAAAACAAGATACGGGATTGAAGAAGCATTGGAGTCTGGAATCTTGACTTCGATCCTGTGATTTAACTGGTTCATCTTCTTTGCTTGGTTCCGGGGGTGATTCTTCTCCATCGTTAGTAAATTCACCCTGTATCATGGGATGAATTAAAATTCCAACTATTTTTTAATCACATAAACCCGCAAAAGATCCACAAGATAAAATTATTTTATGAAAAATAATAAATTTATTTTATAACAAATAATAAATATAATTTTTACTTACGTCGGTAAAGGGTACTTCAAAGACTGGAAATATTTTTCCCCATGATGGCGTTAATTTTTCAGCCACTTCAGTATCTCGAGAATCTTGCGATAGACACATCGAAGCCATTCATGTAACAGACAGTAGAATTGATAAGTGCTTATAAGAAATCATAGCGCATGAAATTAAAAAAAAAAAAGTTTTTTTATTGAAATGATCAAAAACCGTAGAAAGATGAAAGCAAACTGATATAAGTTTTTATTATTCACTTTTGAAGAAAAGAAAAAAAGTCTGGCATTTCGAAATAGTGTAAATAGAAATTAATTTTCTTTACAAACGCCAATTTATGAGAACAGAAATTTATGCTCAATTATTTTTCAATTTATTCCTAGTTTATCAAATTATAGAAAGTATTAAAACGATGAAAGTTTATTTTATTAATAATCGCTGTGAGGACTTGACACTTGCTGACGCACACAATTGATGCATAATTTATAGATCGTATGTTTGTATTTGTCAAATAAAAAGTTAGTTTGTTCTGATATCGCGTTATAGATGCCAAAAGGGCGTATAAAAAAATTTCTTATCTTTAAATGATCTTAGAAATGTTAAGATTAAAAAAAATGAATGAAATAATAAAAAGTAAAATTTTTTATGATATAAAAAATTCTTAGAATTTGCCAAATTATTCATTTACCTTATTTACTTGGATTTTCATCAACGAAGCAATTATTAAATCTCAAAGTTTAAGCGTCTCAAGAGTTAATTTTCGAAAATTTTCAATTTTAATTTAATCATTCAAAATTTTCTTCCTTAATCTGATCTCCACATTTTTAAGGTCCTAGGAAGTAGCTCAATACTCCTACGAAGATTTCTATCAGAGTGTGTGTGTGTGTGTGTGTGTGTGTGTGTGTTGTGTGCAGTAAAAAATTTTTCGTCAAATTTAAGACAAAAACATGTGTTGATGACTTTTTTTACACAATTTGTGTTGAATCAACACTCTATTGTGTTGAATCAACATACTAAAATGTTAAATTCTACATGCTAAGATGTTAAATTCTACACAAACATTTTTACACTTTACACAATGACGAAAAATTTTTTACTAAGTGTGTGTGTGTAAACCTCTCATAACTTTTGTGCGATTCCACTGATTTGAATGACAATCGCGTTATTCGATAAGGTTCAGCGAAACTTAGACTTCCTCATAAATTTAAAATAACTTTTTTCTTTCAACAGCTTTTAAACAGATGTACCAATCAATTCCAAAATCTAAACAGTTCTTTAATTTAAAAAACGACGTTGACTGCTGCAAACCGCATCAAAATCGGGTGATGTGTTGAAGAGAAATCGTACACTAATTATTTTAAAAAAGTGTCTTTTTCAAATAACGTCGAATTTATTCTCAAATTATTTTTCATGACATAATTTAACTATGAATGCTAAGAAAACTGAGTCAGAGGCTGCCAATTGCTTCAAAATCATTTGGTACGCTTGTGAGATATATAATTTAAAAAGTAAAATCTTCAGGCCTACAAGATTATTCAACTTGAAAAAATTTTCCTGAATCCCGAAACCAAGAAAGAGAGTGCAAAAAAAATTACGAATCTTTTTTTTCGTGCTATTACTTTGAATTGCGAGAGAACTATGAGTCTAAAATTTTTTTCACCAGGAGTTCCAAATACTAGAATTTTCTCAAGAGAACTCTTTTTTGTTTATCTTGATATTATTTTTACTCAAACGAAACCCGTCAAAAATCACGGCAAAGTTTTAAAATTTTTTTTACTACCTCAATTTTTCTTAGGAATATATTGCTTCAACTAACAATGTCATTTTTTTGGGTGATTTGTTCCTCTCTTTAGGTTCTTTCGTAGACTTATCGATAAGAAAATGTTATTTTCTTTAACGACATTTCATTTTCGGATGAAGAAATTTTTTTTCACTCTTTCAGGGAGTACCCCATTTTGCCCCCAAAAAAAAAAAATTTTTTTT